AAATCTAGTGCAAATGGCCCCTAGAGCCTTCCAGCAATAATTGCAGTCCATCTATAAGCTTGTGTAGCATAGCAATTTAAACATGAAGACTGAAGCAAAGGGGATTTGTTGTCTACAACAGATTCCTTTATTAATCATGTGTTACCAAAGAATGAAAGTTGAATATTGACCTTTTTTTAACAGTCTAGTTTATCAATACCTTTTAAATACATATGCAAATTGTTAAAGTGCTGTTGCATTACAAGATTTGTAAACATAGTCCATAAACAGCTGAAGCAGTGGGCAGACGGGGAAGTCATAAAGATCAGCTGCCACAATTGAGGCAGGTGGTTTCTGAAAGCTGGTTGATCAGTTCATAGCACTGCTAGATGGTGTTGGCTGTCAGTTGAGGGTCATGGAAATTGTCAACTTGATGGATTTGAGTTTCCTGACAAAAGAAGAACAGGTAATCATTCAACGTGTACTGAAAAGAGATACAGACCTAAGAAAGCATGAGGAAAAGAGAATAAGGTACAACACTTATCAAAGTGTTTTATTAAGCATGCTGCTTAATTTCTGATGTCTAAATCACTTACCTTGTCATTGAATGTAACTTGATTTTGTAAATATAAAGTAAACTTCATCAATCTGCAAGTATGAAAGATAAATTGACATATGTGAATTATATTTTAGCTGAAAATGAAGAGTAAACATAATAATATGCTATTAAGGCCAGAGGGAACATTTATCATATCTTGTTTGTTGCAAAACCTGTCAAGAAAGTACCTCCGAGTCAAGATTTTATTACTCTCAAAGACATGTTTCCTAAATTATGATGTGAAGGCTAAAATAGACGGGTAGCATAACACACTGAATATTCATGTATAGCACAGAAAGATTTAACTCTTCAAAATGAAAATCCAAATTTATTTTTACACTTCTATTTTTGATTCAGAATAATAAACTGCAAATAACCTTCGAAAGCAGGAATGGTTAGGCCAAACTTGGCTGTAAGTGATTTCACAGTACAGCACCATGCCCAGGCTCTGAAAGAAAACATTTCTGAAGTGCATCTTATCAATTTAAATGGGGTGGATATTTTTAATAAGATCAGGAGTTAGACAAATGTATAATCATGCATGTATTCTGAATGTATATGCACATAAGGTCATAGACACATGATCGTTGTTAAATCTTTCCTTGAAGTAACAATTTGCAAAGATTTAACAAGCTTTCTTAAAACCCTTTCATCGTTCTTAATCTCTAGTCTGTGAATTTTAAATATGGATGTTCAGATTTAAATGAGATCAACTGGCTGAAGGCTGCTGTTGCTGTATTTCTCATTCTGCAAGTGAAAGTTTTTTCTGTCTGTCATACTGTTCCTCCTGATTAGATACTTGAGTCCCCAACTGAGAACAAATATGCAGAAAAGTAGTTTGAGCTTTACACTGACTTTTCTCATATATATATATATACACATTTTTTAAATCAGTGAAAGTAGCCAGTGGTTCAACATAACAGCCAGACAATCGGCATTTTCAGAAAGTCAGCAATGGAAGGCTTCTTGCTTTATTCTGAAATTAGTCATATTGTTTTCTTGCAAATATATGTATTTGAGGGCTGCAACAATAATTTCTTTAATATACATATATATGCTTATTGCCTTGAAATGCTACACAGTGTTATTTACTTACCAATCCGTCTCACCAAAGAAGCCCTTGCTTTTGCCAAAGCTTTAGAAATAGTTTACTACCTATGTGTCTGATATTTTATCTCATCAGTTATTAAAAAATAACCCCTATTATGGAACAGATGTAGGGACCTCCTTCTGACAGTGCTAGTTCCTCGGCAGGGATGAGCTCAGATGTGTTTAGATCCTAGTATGAACCTGCCTGATCTGTGCCCCATGAAGCTGTCGCTGCTCAAACATAAGCAGCCAAGGAATTCCCTGTCCCACAGCTGCACATATACACATTCCTTGTAGACTAGGATCAGAACACACCTGAGCCTATACCTATTCCTTAGCTATCATGATGATGATGTAATGGCTTGTATTTTCTGCTTCCCATACGCAGAACAAATAGATGTTTATTCCAATTTAGTGACTCAGATAGCACTGAAGCCAGAAAAAGCCAGGGGATTAGCATTCTGTAAAATGCAAATGGGCACATGTTGTATTTAGTTTAGTGTGTGTATGTGTATATATATGTATGTATATATATATATATATATATATATATATAATATATATATAAAATTATTATTTTTTTTTTTTATACAGTTTCCTGTAGTTGTTAATCCGCAATACAGGAATAAAAATATACAAGCAGAAGCTAAAAGTGATATTAATCACTTGCCTCAGGAGGATTCCCCCCCCCCCCCCCCCATGTCCTGACCAGGCCATTTTTTGCGAGATGGCACTGCGTTATTTTGGCAATTGTGCGGTCATGCATCGCTGCACCTAAATTACATTTACATCCTTTTATCCCCACAAATAGTTTTCTTTCGGATAGTATGTGATCGCCTCTGCGTTTTTTTTTTTTTTATTTTCTGTACTATAAACAAAAAAAGTATAAACAAAAAATTCTTCAAAAAGTATTCAGGTGGCTCATAAATCAATTAATAGTTAAAAAACCACTCTCATGGTTGGCACACTAGGCTTAAATGGACGATTTTCCAAGGAATAAATCAGGTGACTGTGATGTTTTATACTCAATCTTGAAACATTGGAATCCCAGGACAATTGCTCCTTAACTCTGGCACACAAACTCCTCCTCCCAATGCTCCACACTCAATTGACCATGTAGGAGAAAAAAAAACGAGAGAACCCCAAATGGTGCAGTACCAACTAAAAGATTTTTATTGCCACGATAGAGTGCCACTTACAAGATGAAAGTAGGTAAAAAAAAAGCCCAAAGATGTTAGCTTTAATAATCTCTCAGTGTTGAGAACCAGTGCTCTCACCACCGCCGGCCTTCGATCTCTGACACTCCTGCGTCCATTTAAGCCTAGTGTTCCAACCACGAGAGTGGGAGGCAACAACTTCTGCACACCTGAGAGGGGAGCACTGCACGCATATTTATGCATTTAATTTTGCACGAGTTGTCTTCATGTGGTGATTGCTTTGAGGACTGATTTATTTGGACTTAATTGTTAATCATTGATATTCCATTAATATAAATTTTTATGTGAAAAATATTGTTTATATTTTTATTTTTATATTTCATAAGAGTTTTTTGCACTATTAATTGATGTGCCACCTGAATACTTTCTGAAGTGTTTTTTTTAATATACTTATTATATTTTTAAAGTGGCAGTGTATTGGTTATACACAGATGTGATATAAGTATCACTCATTTACACATTTAGCACAGTTTGTTGGTCACACACCTTCACTATTTTTTATATAAACTAAAAAAAAAGACCAACAATTTTGGGAAAAAAAGCTATTTTTTACATTTTGCTATTAAACATGTCCAGTAAAAAAAATAAAATCAATTTCATCATAAAGTTACGCCAAAATGTATTCTGCTACGTCTTTGCTAAAAAAAAATCCCAGTAAGTGTAAATGAATTGGTTTACATGAAAGTTATAGTGTTTATAAATGGCGGTACATATATTTATTTATTTATTTATTTATTTATTTTACTAGTAATGGCGGCGATCAGCAACTTCTAGTGGGACTGCGGCGAGCATTCAGACACTGGGGGAACTGACTTGGTGTCAATGACATCTCCAGTGACATCAATACAGTGATCAGTGCTAATAAAAAGCACTGACACTGTACTTATGACACTGGGCAGCAAGGGGTTAACATCTGGGGCAATCACAGGGTTAACTGTGCTGTTTTACTGTGTGCTGTGTGTGTGCTTTAAACTGTAAGCACACTGCATTGTATTTCTCTGCTATGCAAAGCAATATAAAACAGTGTGCAGGAGCTGACAGAGGAGAGATCTGTATTGTTTACATACAGGTGTCTCCCCCATTAATGATACCCAGCGATCGCCAGATGCTGGCAGGGAATCATTGGATGGGACCCGGTGATCAGCAACCGAGGCTACAATTGGAGGCGTGGTTAGGGTGAGCGCCCCCTACCCGGAAATGCAAAATCACATATATACGTGATTTTGCACAGCCATGCTGCCCTGTAGCAGTATATCTGCTATAGGGTGGCGGGGAAGCTGTTAAACATTATTTTATAGTAAACACTGCAGCAATATTTATACACACTGAAAGTACCACTACATTCTCTTTATTTTTTTTCTTTATTGTAAAATGCCTGTCACCGCAAGGACACACAGAAAACCATTTTTCCTGTGTGTCCCTTTCACAATGCAAAAAACCCCTTGGTGATAAAATGCAGGCAAGCTGCAGTTTATCACAGCACACTGTACACAATCGCTGTACAGAACCATACACTATATAAATCTTGTATAATAATAATGAATGAAGTGTACATTTTGTACAGTTCAAATAAAGCTTGTCCAAAACAACAAAAAAAGGGGAGCCGTATGATGTGCTGAATCAATCACCACACTTCCCCCTGGTGCAGTCGGGAGCTTACAGTTGCTGTATAGGTAAAGCGCTCCGGCAACTGTCCGCTCTGGTGGTTGATTTACTAAAGGCAAATAAACTGTGCACTTTGGAAATAAATTAGTAGATGAGCTGACTTCCATCATCCAATCGTGTGCAAGCAAAAATGCATTTTTTTTCTATTTTCCTTGCAATTGATTGTGTATTTTTTGCAAAGTGAATCTTTACCCTATTCACTAATCTCTGCAGCAACTGCACTTGCAGAGTGCAGCCACACTTTGCAAAGTGCACAGTCTATTTGGCTTTAGTAAATCAACCCCTTAGTGTTAACCCAGCCAAAGGTTGGTTAACCATTTGCCGTCCGGCCACTGTATGTAAACGGCCGGACGGTGGCAGTCCAGGGGAGGGTTGCCGTTCATAAACGGCACCTGCCATTTTGGACTGTGCGCACTCCCTGGGAGCACACAGCACCGCGATCTGGTGCCCACCGATCGCTGTACAGGACCTCTGTGCGAGGTCCCGATCATGTGTTCACTGATTGGCCAATCAGTGATCACATGCAGTGTAGTAAGCAAGATGTCCCTTCTGACATCATTGCTTACTACATGTGAAATCTGTGAATGATCATAGAGGTCACATGGTACAAAGCTATTCACAACAGCCTTGTACCATGTGACAAGCTGTGACCAATCACAGCTCACACAGTATTTCTCAATGGCTACAAGAATTCAGCCATAGAGAAGGAGCAATTATTGCTTTTACAGCCTTTATGGATGTAAAAGCAATCCGTGTAAAAAAAAAAAAAAAAAAAAAAAAAAAAAATCTTCATCACCCCCCACAAGTAGTACAGTGTCACCATGGTGACACTATATTGCTAGGGTGACAGTATGTAAAAAAAAAAAAAACATAAATAATATAAAAAAATAAAGTGAAAATGTAAAAACATTTTTTAAAAATTATAATTTTTGGTTTATAAACTAATTAGGGTTGTATTTTTTTTTATTTTTTTTACTAAAAAGATTACTGAATAAATCTTGGCCAAGATTTATGATGAAATATTATTTATTTGAAAAAATTTTATAAGATACTTTTTTTCAAAATTTTTGGACTTTCATTTATATAGCAAAAAAAATAAATAAAAATCCCAGTGGTGAATAAATACCACCAAAATAAAGCTTTATCTATCTCAAAAAATGCTAAAAAATTCATATGGGTACAGTGTTGCATGTCTGCGCAATTGTCATTCAAAGTGTGATAGCACTGAAAATTGGCCTGGACAGGAAGGGGGTGAAAGTGTCTGGACTTGAAGTGGTTGAAGCCTGCTAAACGTTTATACAATGCTACAGTCAATTATCCTCGGTACAACCAAAATAAACTGTCTTTTCCACCATCTACAATAGATAATAAGCAGGGGTGAAGTGATTGGAAACCCCCCATATAGTTTTTGTATGCAGAAGCAAATTGTCATTTTACAACGTGTACACTTATGAAGAATAAGGGAGGGTAATGACTGCTGTTATGCAAGTAGACTTCAGTTGTTGTACAGCAGAGTTTGAGAAGAACTTTTTCCCTGCTGCATTTTGCATCAATATGTAAGAATTAAAGTTAAATTCCAGACAAACAGCTAAGTATGCACATTAAATACATTATATGGTTTCTCTGTTGCCTTCTAAAAGTTTTATTTGCGTAGACTAGCCTTGCTAGACAACAGAACCAGTTAATCTAACCTGAGCGATGCAGGTGGGTCATCTCTTTGCTTCCAGCCTGTGGACAATGAAGTAGAAGCAGTAGACTGATTCTCATCACTCTCTCTTCCTGTCTTTTGTGACCTCCCTATCATTTCTCTAGCACATTTTTGCTTCTAGGGCTTGGCCCTCTCTCAGCCTTAGTTCTGAGTATGAGGAGATTGATAGTATGACAAATTCAAGAACTTGCCCTAGTTGCATTTAAAGCAAACAATAGATTAAGCAATTTTCTTTCGTTCTACCACAGGTGGATCAACTTTGGCACAGCCAATCTGTCCATAGATGGATCAAATCTCGGTTATTCCTTGTTGAAATGGGTGAGATTCTATCCATCTATGGCCAGCTTAAGAATCAACTGTTTTAAAGCATTAACTGAAATAATTGGTGTTTGTTTTATATCTGCCTGGAGGTCAGCTTTAGAGATGAATTCTCTAAGCTATTTATTTTAATTGGCCATTTTAACACAGTTTTCCCATCAACACATTTAATTTACATACTGAGATATCACACATGCATTTTTTAGCAGAAATGGTTATTTAAAATTGAATTCCAGCATTTATTAGACTTCACCGTTTCACAGCCACTGATGTATGCCATGTAAAGCAGGGGTGGGGGGTAGTTTGCACATACTACAGCAGCCCAGAATGCGTGTAAATTTGAAAGCTGTCGGCTGTTGTATTGAGGGACTCTACATCTTGGCCACTCAGAGGAAGCCTTGCATTTACTGAGAATAACTCAGTCTGACTTAATTATATTTCAGCCACAGACAGGAATTCCCTGTACTTCTGCCAGAACACAACACTGTATATAGTTTATACTACATATAGTTTATACAACACTGACTGCAACCGCATCAATTAGTAAAGGAAATGGTTTATTTCAGCCAGCTTTGCCCAAACAAACTATTTCAAGTGTGTGAAACATTAGCACAACATCAAGTGCTTGTTTATTGCAAAGAAGCCATCAGAACTAGAAGCAAAGGGTGAGTTAGCAAATCAGCAATAAACAATATTAATAAACATTAAATGCAATATAAATGAGGATAATAGTACACTGGATAAGAGTGCACTCTAAGGGATTGGCAGGGGTACAATATCTCTTAAGAGGTACCTCTTTAACTAATCAAGGGAACAGGGCCTCAGGGTAGCAACTGTTAGGAGCAGTCTTTAGTCCTGACTCTTCACCGGGTAAGCATTGAGGGCCTAGTAACCGTTGGCTTGCTTTAAGGCAGTCATTAAGGCCTGCAGGCAGTTTTAGAGCTGTACGGTAGCAGGTAGGTAGTTCCTAATAGCTCAGTCTCTAGTGGTGGCAACAAGTAGTGGCCACAATTCCCTCTCATCAGACCCAGTGACACAGCAGCAGTGGTCCCTCTGATCAAGTGTCCACTCACTCTCGGTTTCCCGTGGTGATACTGGCAGGCAGCACAGAAGGTCTGAGCCCTGGCAATAGCTTTGGCCCTCTGTCCTCGGGTAATGCCTCTGTACTGTCTGGTGGTCCCACACATGGCAGTGGGTTTTCACTGGCACAGCCTCTCACTCTGATGGTGTCCCACAGCATGGTCCTCTCACAAGCTACCTGAGTCGCACACATCAGGGTTGCCTGACTAAAATAACTTTTTCCAAGGTGAATAACGTTTTCCAAGGTGAATCTGATACTCTCTGCCGCAAAGCTAGCTGGTGGCTGTAGTCCATGCCCCCCCACGCTCTCTTTGGGACTACATATCTCCTGATGCTCTTCTCCTCCTCTGTGATTGGTCCTTTGCTGTTACCCGGGGGGGAGAGACAGAGAGGGAGCAGCAGTCCTCAGTAAAAGGCACTCTGTTTGCCCCCATGTGGCGCTAGAATGGGTGGAAGGATAGAGCCCGAAGCCTCTTCCCTCCTCTCTTTCTAGCACTGCTGCTCTGGTCCTTTCCACACCTGTCTGGCCTGAGGGCAAAGGGAGAGTGACGCATTCACACAGTCTTTCTTCTCTGATCACCCAAGGGGAGTAGCAAATAGGCTGCACCCGCTACACACAAAAACAATGAAATTTATGATTGTCAAAGGCTCAGATTGATTATTTTTAAGGGTGTAGAGTGTCAAACTAAAAATGCTACTAGACTTGATTGTTTAGGACCCAGTTACAAGTTTACCATTGTGTAAACTATAATATTGAATTGTATAAGATCCTAGATGGGGTAGTGATTTCACCTGCAGCCTTATTTAATGGCTATAGATGTTAAAGTCCTATTCTATAGTATGTGTCATGGAACTCAATATGGTTAATAGTTTCCTATGTCCTTCATAGAGAGAGACAAAAAGTAATGATAAACCTAAAATTAATTTATCTTGGGACTGTTAGAGAAAATTTTAATGTGGTCTTTATACCTCAGGCAGGTAGATGTTACTATTTGAAGTCCTTGCATGTATAATATTTTCTACAGTCTGACAAGTTAGTTCCAATTCCCTTTCCTGCTATCATATACCAATAAAATTGCATATGTTTCATGGAAGCCTGAATTTGTTAATAAATCGCTCTATAACTTCTTTGCCTCCTAGGATTTTAGAACACAACAAAATTTGGTGACAAGAATGACTTTTTCATCTTTATACCGTATATACTCGAGTATAAGCCGAGTTTTTCAGCACATTTTTTGTGTTGAAAAACGGCCCCTCGGCTTATACGATGGGGCACTATTCCTCCCAGTGACACCAACGATGGGGCACTATTCCTCCCAGTGACACCAACGATGGGGCACTATTCCTCCTCCCACTGACACCAATGATGGGGCTTATACTCGAGTCAATAGTTTTTCCCAGTTTTTTGTGGTAAAATTAGGTACCTCGGCTTATATTCGGGTCGGCTTATACTCGAGTATATACGGTAGCTTAGCAACCTGCACCTTATTTTGCCTATAGTCTGCAGTGCCTTTTTACTGCTTAAATGTGTATGTGTGAGAATGACATACTTACTGTTAGGGCTCGTTCACATTTGGCTGTTTTACCAACGCTTGCCAAACTCCCCTATAGCAATTGGCAAGCGTTGGTCCGGCGTTTGCGAATCGTTTTTTAACGCTCGGCAAATGCCGCATGCGCAGTTTAGCGGCAGTTGCTAGGCGTTTGCCGAGCATTAAAAACACCCCACAAATGCCTATAATGCAGTTTGATGTTACCGCTCCGCAAACACCGGCCGGGCGTTTGCGGAGAGGCATCATAGACTAGAATAGGAAGCTTCAACGCCTCCTGACTCGACCAGAGGCGTCCATTTTGCCACGACGCGACGCAAACGCTCCCGTTAGAACAGCACCATGTGCTGTAATGTGCAGAATTGGCAGAGGCATTTGGGAAGTGGTAAAAATGCTTCCCAAACGCCTCTCTGCCGCCTGCACACAACGCTAGTGTGAACGTAGCCTTAGTCAGGAGGAGTTGTCTACTGCTAGAGTGCTTTTTATTCACTGCCTGATAGCATAAGGGCAGTGTATGTTTTATAATCTACCAGCAGCAGATGACACCTTTGATACAGTTCTCACTAGATTAAAGAACTTTTGTTCCTAAAGTAAACATGGTTGCATAATATCTGGCAATGTGGACAGCATGGTAGACTGACACAATTCAAGGCGGCTTTGAGAGAAATGGTTGTTGGGTGAGTTTGGTGTTCTAACAACTAATCTTTAGAAAAAATTTGCTCTAGAAACAAGATTTACCTTCAGAGAAGGCTATAATTTCAAGCCAACGTGAGACTGCTATGACTGATGCAAAACCCTCAGTTGTGGGACTACTGGCACCATACAGGCTTTAAATTCAGTATCTGCCTCTCATCAAGCACATATTCAGGCCCAATAAAAGGGTACAGCAAAGAGATTTATCTAAACCGCAATGCAGATGCCTCCATTCCAGAATTTTGTATGTTAACTATTGCTTCTGCTAACAAGCTTACTATATTGGTGCTGTCATGGTTTTTATGTGGCCAAAACCTTT